AAAATGGTCACTGCATATACGATGTGCACTTTTTGCTGTCCATGGTACTTCAAGATGGTTTACTTGTTGAACAAAATGCTCCCATAATTTTATGGCTGCCTTGTTTTTCATGGGAAATCTGTAATACATATAAATATTCATGATCTAGTATTTTAAATATTATACTTCCAGTAATTTCACTACAAATCCTTGTCCAGTTAAATAAAGTTGTAAGCCCTGTACTAACAATATGATACCAGTTATATCTACTTTACACTTTTACTGTGAAAAAGTATTATTTTATTGCAATTGTGACCAGCGAAACAAATAAATACTGTATATGACTAAACTGTCAAAATATAGAATTTATATATGTTAGTATTTAACTGAATTTTATTAAAATTTCATTTTTGTAGTTGAAGCATGTTTAATCTTTCCAAATTGCAGTTTTGTTTGATGTCATTTTTTCAACTTATGTATTGGAATTTTACCTGTGAAAAGCAACAGTTTCTGCACCTATGTGGTGAGAAATAGCCCTGTTCCTGCACCCAATTATCACACATGTAAGTGGCATGTTTACTGAACAATCCTGAATACTTATCTTTGTCCTAAAGACGACAATTATGCAGTGAAAAATAACTTTTGTTTGCAAAATCAAGGAAATATACGCTCTAACGTTAAAAAAAGGACTGGGGTGAGAAGAAGCTATACTTGTTTTTCTTCGTAAATATTACTTTAAAACATAATTTTGCTAACGTTCTGTTATGTTAATGTCATTATTGGTTTAACGTTTTTTAAGAAATTTTTAAAACAATACCATGCAAATTTGCAAGATGTCAAAATCGCATTTGTCGAGGCTTGTTAAGTTTGTTTTTTCAAAAGGCACGATTGCTTGATTGATCTATTACCGTAATCAAACTTACTATAAATGACCTGGAAAATTTACATTTTTTGCAATTTACTTCCAGTTTTTTTTCATAGTTTTTGCAAAATCCGCTGTCAAAATGACTAAAACACTGACATATTTTGTTTTGGTCGTGTTTATCACAAGCGTGGAAAGACTGGGAACGATACTGTCGACTTAGGCTTCAAATTTCCGGGCGAAGGTAGCCTTCCAGTTATATTTAGTTCAATGCATTGAGCTCTATAAGACCTGGAGGGTCAAAGGGGCCTGGGCCTCGTGGTCAAAAACATGGCGGATTTTGGTGGTCAAAGTCAGCGGAGAGACGCGGGCTCATGAAATGAAAACTTTTTCGCCCCTCCGGATTTGACCACCACAATTGCGTGTTTATAGACATAACAATAAATATCAAAACATTTGTTGCGAAGTCTTATTTGAATACTTGTATTGCAAAAAATGCCGCAATCTTGTGTTGTACATGGATGCAAAAATAGTGCAAGAAAAACAAACTTTTCATGGCACCGGTATGCAATATAATATTGTTCATTATTTCTCAAAACAAAGCACTTCGTTTTTGTAATTTTGTCGTTTGATGGCGTGATACCATTTCGTTTGTAGTTTTTAATTTTTAAAGCATAATCTTTAATTTAAATTGTATTTATCTCAAACTTTCTGCTCATTATAGCTTTCCAGATGTAGCAAAACACCCACATCTTTTGGAGATGTGGGTGTTAGCATTAAGCAAAACTCTCGAACTATGAATGAGTTTGCCCCAAAGAAATGGAGTCGGATTTGTTCAGAACATTTTTCTGACCATATGAAGGAAACAGTCGGGAATAGAGTTGTGTTAAAACTGAATGCGGTGCCAACTATATTCAAAAATGCTGTGGTATGTATCATACAATAGAAGTATCTAAATTTAAAATGTGTCCTTAAAGCTTTGTTTTTGCACAATTTGACAGAATATAGACTACAGTGATGAAGGGCTAAAGGTTTACTAGATGCTGCTAGTTATATAGAAACACAACTCAATATTCCTGTGAATGAAGTATGTATTGGAAAATCTATTGTAAGTGAGGGGTTGAATTTGAAAAAAGCCTTGTGCCCATGCCAGATTTAGTCATGGATGATAATCAAATAAATTTGACCCAGGATGACTGTACTATTGAAGAACATGATAATCAGGTGATCAATTTCAACTGTTTATTGCATGATCATACATACAGTTGTCAATCTCCTTATAGACTGAAGCGTCAGTTAGAGGAGGTCATTGAGAAAGCTGAGTCACTTAAGAAAAAACTTAAGAACAGCAGGATGCAAAATGGTAGACTGAGAATGAAAGTCAATGATATGTCTTCTGTTGTTTCTAGTTTAACAGAGGAAGGTTTTGTTAATGTTGATCAGGCTGAAATTCTTAACAATACCCTTTCAGGAGTGTCAAGGGATATATTTAATAGGTTAACACATGAAGATAAAACATGTGTTTCCTACCCTCCTGAGCTAAGATCATTTGCTCTTACATTGAAATTTTATTCCAGAAAAGCTTATGACTATGTACGTGAAAAGTTTAATTTAGCATTGCCTCATCCAAGAACAATCCGCACTTGGTATAATCCAATTGATGGTGATCCAGGATTCACTCGAGATGCATTTGTTGCACTGAAATTTAAGGCTGAAGAAGCTAAAAAGAAAGGAGAATACCTTCTATGTGCCTTAATGTTGGATGAAATGGCAATTCGCAAACATGTTGAGTTTGATGGAGACAAAGTCTTTGGCTTTGTTGACATGGGAACTGGCATAAATGATGATGACTCACTGCCTGAAGCAACAGAAGCCTTAGTATATATGGCTGTTGCTCTTGATTCGTCGTGGAAAGTTCCTGTTGGTTACTTTCTAACTGATGGCATTTCTGGACAGATGAAAGCAGACCTGTCTAGAGAATGTATTGCCAGACTACATGATGTTGGTGTTAGAGTCACCAGCTTAACTGCTGATGGTCCATCTTCTCATCAAACAATGATGAAGATTCTTGGAGCAAAACTCTCTCCAGATAATTTTCAAGCATACTTTTTGCATCCATGTGATTCACGTTTAAAAATTTATACTTTTTTAGATGTATGTCACATGATCAAATTGGTGAGAGGTGCATTGACCCAATTGGGAGAATTGAAGGATGCAAACAATAACCTGATAAGGTGGGATTATTTGATTAAACTAGTTGAGCTGCAGGAGTCAGAGGGTTTGCGCTTAGCAAACAAGCTTCGCTCCTGTCATATTCATTGGCATTCACAAAAAATGAAAGTCAATCTAGCTGTGCAAGCACTCAGTTCTAGTGTAGCTGATGCATTAGAATATTGTGAAGGTATGTTAAAACTTCAACAGTTTAAAGGATGCGGTGCAACTGTGCACTTTATTCGTATATTTGATCGCTTGTTTGATGTTCTTAACTCTAGAAATCCCATAGCTAAGAACTACAAGGCACCAATTAGAATGTGCAATTATACGTACATAAAGGATTTTTTAAATCAAGCTGTAGATTACATAAGAGAATTGAAGACTGCTGATGGCAAGTCAATTCTCTTGCATAAGAAAAAAACTGGATTTCTCGGATTCCTCATGTGCATTGATGCCGTTAAGGAATTAGCAGAGGAACTCGTTGTTTCGGAGAAACCAGTTCTCAGGTATTTGTTGACGTACAAAATGAGTCAAGATCACTTAGAGCTTTTCTTTTCAGCTGTACGAGCGGCGGGTGGATGGAATAACAATCCAACACCACGTCAGTTTAAAGCTGCATACAAGCAACTATTGATGAGACATAACATCAAAGGAGGACATGGAAACTGTATTGCTCAAGATAGCACTGAAATCTTGACAAAAGTAAATGATCGTTGCGAGACAAATGAAATATCGGCAGATATTTCTGATGTGACAACGGCAAGACGATATGATATGAAGTTGCGACAACCAATTGAAGAAGAGCATGACTATTGTGACGTGCCCAACTTCATTGCTTTGTCTGAGTATAAGGAAGCAGCTATTTCTTACATTGCTGGCTATGTTGTTAAAATGGTTGCAAGAAAGATCACTTGCCAAGATTGTATTGCTGCTTTGCATACATCGACAAACAGGGCTCCAGAGCTCTTTGTGTCTTGGAAGACTCATGGTGGCCTAAAAATACCAACAGATGATCTTCTAAAAGTGTGTCATGAGACCGAGAAATGCGTTATGCGAATGATTAATTCTTGCAACGGAAGTTTGCCACATTGTTCGCATATCACAGGTGCAATCTCCAACACTGTTTTAACTGAATGTGTGGAGAGAAACGTTTTTAGTTCATTGAACCAGCATGTACATGATTCTGTTGTTACAGAAGATCATATCTTAAAGTTGATTAAATGTTGTAGTGACGCTTTCGTGAAGATACGAATGCATCATCTGTGTAAGACAGAGAACCATAAAATTCAAGGAAATAAAATCAGAAAAAAACTGAACAAACTAGTATTGTTCAAACATCAGTAGAATTTAAAACAATTACTCGTGTGAACGTATTAGTTATGTTCACGTGAATGTTACATGGGTGTTACTGGGCACATTTGTGCTTTCTAGGTCCCATGGCTTTACTTACGTACGTGTTACATGGGTGTTACTGGGCACATTTGTGCTTTCTAGGTCCCATGGCTTTACGCACGTACGTGTTATATGGGTGTTACTGGGCACATTTGTGCTTTCTAGGTCCCATATGTCTGTTACAAGACATAATAATTCCATATGTCTTTCGGACACGAAGCGTCTTAGCAAATAGAATGCAAAAGTAACTGCGATAATGCATCTTTAAAGTTATTTATCGTTACCAAGTAAGTTAATCCATGTTCTCTAATATTCAAAAGGTTATTTTGCTAAAAATTAATTTGAGTTTTATTTTTTATGCTGGCATGTGTTTCTGCATTCTCGAGATATACACGCGTGCAGACCACGCACTTTAAATTACTCTTGGTCTAGGAGGCGGGAAAATTTAAATAGTCGTTTTTTGAAATTTGACAAGTCTTTGTTTTGGTAAGTCGATTTTTTTACTATTGCCTTTTTTATCCTTGTCATTCTCGCTTTTACAATGCTTTTCTGTAATTCACATATTTAGTCGAAATATATCGGTGCTGTATTATATTTAACACAAAAAGCGCGTTTTTTCGGGCAACTTATTTTTATGTTCAACATCGGTGTTGCTTGTTTTTTAGTCTCGCAAACACAGTTAAAATAAAAGAGAAGTAAGCATTCATGCTACTGTTTTGTTAATAAATCATATGTTCAAATACTAATGTTAAACATAAACTTATACAAAGAAATTACTTAATCTCTTTGTATAGTGGCAGAAGGAAAGAAAAACGAACGTGTAATGGGTATGTTTTGTGAGTTATATTTTTCAGTTTAACTATTTGTTGTTCTTACACTTAATATACTTGCAGAAGTTGATGATGCTACAGACAAACAAAAGAGACCACAAAAAGAAAAAGTCATGTGGTCATCCTATGGTATCTCTACCAATTCTCATACCACTAAAAAAACTTCCAGTAGTGCCAGTACAATCACATTGAAATTGGAAATGAAATATAAATAAACAACAAAGAAATAAGAATGACAACCCTATTCTGTACTGCAAACTGTAAAATACTTATTATATTTTTGAAATGTTAGGTTTTACAGTGAAAACATTCAAATACATTTGAAGTCTGCAATAGATAATATTTTCCAATTGCAGCATATGAAGAAGAGAGCACTACAAGTGGTGGGGACTGGTGGTGGTCCATCCAAAAGTATGACTTTAATCGTTTTCTACAGAATATTTTTAATCCTACTTCATTTATATTATTGTAATACTTTATTATTTTACAGATAGAAGAAACAAATTTAATGGTATGATGTAATATATTGCAATTCATTAAAGACTTTGTTGTAATAACTTATATTTTAATAGACAATACTTTTCAATTGCAGCACATGAAGAGGAAGGCACTACAAGTGTGGTGGGGACTGGTGGTGGTCCATCCCAAAGTATGACTTTAATCTTTTTCTACTGAATATTTTAACCCTAATTGATTTACTGAATATTTACTGAATATATACTGAATATTTTTAACCCTACATCTTCAGAGTCATTTGACTCTGAAGATGACTACCACTAAGGTTGTCGAAACATCAGTCAACAACAACAAAAACAGTCCTTCTCAGGACTATACCAACCTGGACGATCTACATTTACAAACATGTAATGATACTCCCGGGTTCAAACCATTTACTTTATATTGCAATTCATTAAAGACTTTGTTGTAATAACTTATATTTTAATAGACAATATTTTCCAATTGCAGCACATGAAGAGAAAAGCACTACAAGTGTGGTGGGGACTGGTGGTGGTCCATCCCAAAGTATGACATTAATATTTTTCTACTGAATATGTTTAAAATGTTTTTAAATATAAAAATTTTTTATGACCCTACTTGATTAATAATATTTTAACATTGTATTATCTTTGTTACATTACAGATAGAAGAAACAAATTTCATGGTATGGTACATAATATCATTATTTGTTAAAAACTTTGTTGTAAGAATTACAATTTTTTCAATTTCCATAGGCAGATGTCAGAAGTGTGGTCTTTTGGTCACCACATAACTGAGCAGAGCAAGTAGGTTCACATTTTGTAGTATAGACTTTGTTAATATAACAATCTGAAACATTAATATTTTTAGAATGATGTGTCGATATTGCAGGGCATTCAACAAACATGCCCTATTTTAGCCAGAAAATTTTATTTCAAAAAGTGTCAAATGTTTGATAATAGGTAATTGCCCAAATTTTAAATTATGACCAATCAATTTAATCATGAAGGCAGTTAAAGAAAATATTTACCAACATTTGTAGTTAAGGTGAGTATTGCTGTTTTTAAAAATCGTTAAATATTGACATCTTAGATTTTTGCAGGTTTTAATCACCAGCTATATAACCGACAAGATTACATCTCAAAATTTAAAACAACTTTACTGATTTCTATCAAAAATATTCAAAGTTTCTTACCTTGAATTTTATTCGTAATATCAATCTACATGTGCCGTGATACTTCTACGCCATGTTTTCGTAAAAACACATAAATCAGGAGGGAGTGAATATTGAAAAACATTTTCAAAGTGGAAGTTTTGACCACCAAAATCCGCCATTACCGCCATGTTTTTGACCACGCGGCCGCGCGCTAATAATTTATACTAATTTTGTTGACGTTTCCCCTCCAGTTATTATAGAACTCAATGGTTCAATGTGACAACCAAAATCCGCCATTACCGCCAAGTTTTTGACCACGGGGTCCAGGCCCCTTTGCCCCTCCAGTTATTATAGAGCTCAATGCACATAACCCCATGTTAAAAAATATTAATCATCACCGCTTATCATTCAGTCAGTTAATATAATTCCAGATATGCTAAAACGTGATATTTACGTAAGATTTCAGACATAAAACAGAATTTTGAGAATAAAATTCATACGATAATACATCGGGAATTCAAAGATCACAAAAAATTGTAATCATTAAATTTAATAAGTAATTTTTGAATTAAAAACATCAGTCGCGTGAATGATTTGAAATACCCTAGATCCGCCCCTGCATGTTATGACAATAAAACCATACGTACTGATGAATACCATATCCAAATGCTATAGCAAGGTGTAGTGATAATATTATCGTTATAAAATAAACATAGAAATTAAAACTAAGTATAAACTAAGCTTAGTAAATTTATTTGTTCCTACACCAATATACCTGGACTCATAAAGTCACGGCAAAAGTAACATACGACAATCTCTAGATTATAAAGAATGATAAAGTAAAGGTACTTACCACAAATTTAAGCATTGAAACATATTTTAGATCATAACTGCCTCTAAACTTGGAAAGCGAGCTGTACATTATCTTGCCTGGACAATTATTAGGCAAATTCGATTCTTGCACGAGCGATTTTCAAATGAACACGAACGCCGATATTTTACAGGTATCGAGATAACTTTGATGTCAAATTGATTTAAAGAACTTGTGTTATCCATGACAGATATTTCAGATCAGTAAAACGTCGCGAAATGCTTTAAATATTCGAAAATCCTTGTTGGTAAACGTTACCCGCCATACATTTTTATTGTAATTTGAATCTCTAGTGGGTAACCGGAAGTGCATTTTGCACATATATTTAGGCTTCACATTTAGAAACAAAAGCTCAAAATAATTCGCGATTTCGCTGCCAAGCAAGAAACCCGATGTAGTGTTCATCGCAGAAACAAAGCTGACATGATACTTGTAATCTTGAGATATCTGAGTATAACATTGTTTATAAAAACAGAGCTTTTGGACCACATGGAGGTGGTGTATATGTCCATATATAAAAAAATTCTATTCAGTTTACAGTTCTTGACTAATTTAGTTCGACCACGTTTGAGGCTTTTTGGGTTGAAATTTTGCCAATCTACTAGTTATAAACTAATTAGTTAATTCAATTGCAGCAATGGACAATTTTACATTCTTGGTGTGAAGTCGTTTTGAATTGTGCTTTTAATAAACTTAACTTTTGCCATGTTACGGATCAATTCTGGTTACCAGAAACAGCTTGAAATATACCTAAATGATACAACCGAACATCGGACATGATCTTAACAAATCTTTATAGTTTCTACAATAAGAATTCTATCTCAGCTTTCCTTCGTTTAATTTATCAGAATATAATGTAATGTAATCTTATCAAGGCGTGAGATTTACTTTTCCCAAAATTTAAGCCAACGAGCGCCTATTTTGTCTTATTCAACTTAAACAAGCAAATGAAACAAAAGTTCCACAATCTGATTTGTGAATTTTCATGTATAAGACGAACTCTTAATTATGGAGCTAAGGTTTTTTTTAGCAAACTCCCAAAATACCAAAGAAACGGTAATAAAATTTAAACATGTTTATGAAAACAACAAAAATCCTAAGGCGTATCTTTGCTTTACATAACAATTAACTTTTAAAAAACACTTGAGAAAAACGACAATTTGTTTGAGAGCAAACATGTTTCGACATTATCAGAATGCCATCTTCAGTGCAGAATGATTAGTGATAAGTAATATGATACATGATATGATATGAGTAAATTAATTACAATGAGTATTAAGTATTAATAACTATAACGTAAGTTCTAAAAATAAGTATTAAGAATTTATAACAAAAGTATTATTATAAAGTAAATATAGTGTTGTAGTGGTGAACTTGGATATTTAAATCGGGATTAGTTTTATTAATGTGTAGAGCTTCCTTGATTTTGAGTGAGAAAGTGGATTGATCAGTGTCGATGATTTTAAAACAGGAAGGTGAGAATTTGTTTTTACATGAAGGAGAGGCTTGAAGATGTTTGTAGATAGTGGAGTTTTGTCTGTGTGAGTATGTTCCTTTATCCTGGTAGATAATTGGCGAGAAGTTTCACCAATATAACGGGAATTACATCCCGCACATGAAAATTGATAAACTACCATAGATTTGGAAAGTTCGGGAAGTGGGTCTTTAAACGAAAATAAAGATTTTATTTTGAAAGATGTGAAAATAAGTTTAACGTCAATGTCAGTGCAGTAGCGTTTAATGATTTGTGTGAGTTTGCGTTGTGTGTGTCGTGAGTAATCACCTATGTAAGGTAGTTTGAAATAACGTTTATTGTCAGGTTGTTGTATATCGTTAGTGTTAGTTGTGGAGTTAGATGAGTCAGTGCTTTTCTTGTTGTCCAAATAGTGTTGTATAGTGTTGTTGATGAAATGAAAAGGAAAAGAATTACGTTGGAGAGTGAATATTAGTTTCTTTAAATCACGTTGAAAGCCGATGTCTGTGTTGTTGAGTTTCCGTGCTCTGTCGGTCAGTGTTCGTATCAGTCCAATTTTGTAATTTAATGGTGTGAAACTAAAAAGTTAGTCAGTAGTCCTGTATATGTTGGTTTGTGGTACGTAGAGGTCATACAGTTTTCATGTGATTTAGTTAGTAAGATGTCAAGAAAGGGTAACTGATTGTCTTGTTCGGTTTCGTATGTAAAGTTTATGCTTTGATGTTGTTTGTTGATGTATTCGTAAAGAGTAATGCTTCGTCTTTGTTATGAAAAATACAAAAATGTCGTCAACGTATCTGCGGTAAAATAAAGGTTTGTTGTTGCTGTAGTTATTTAACCAGTTTCGTTCGTGAAAACCCATGAAAATGTTGGCTAGAATGGGTGCCAAGGGTGAGCCCATACTTACCCCGTCAATTTGGTCGTAGTACTTACCGTTAAATAAAAATGAGTCTCGGCCGTAGTGATGTTAAACAATAGTTTTAGTTCTGTTCTGCTCATTTTGAATGTAGGGTTGTTGGTAAAAATTAAATCAATAGCAATGTCTATGGTTTCGGTCAGTGGTATGTTGGTAAAAGGCTTTCAACGTCAAAAGAAATAAAGAATTTGTCATGTGGAGCGTTAGTGTTAAAAGATAAAAAATCATCGATAAAACTAAAAGAATCTTTAGCAGAATGGTCATTAGGTATTAGAGGTTGGAGTAAAGAGCTGAGGTATTTGGCTAATTTGTAGTTATACGAATTGATTGAAGAATTTATAGGTCTGATAGGAGGTATGTCATTGATATTGTTTAATTTATGAAGTTTAGGTAAACCATATAATCGAGCTGGCTGTGAACCTCTAGGGTACATTTCTTGAAATGATTTTTCGTCTATAGAGTTTTTTTTCTTTAAGTTACGTAGCAGTCGTTGTAACTTTGCTTCACGGGAAATTGTAGGATCATGATCGAGTGGTTTGAACTTAGATAAATTGTTAATTATAGTGAGGCAAGAGTTAATGTATACCTGACGATCCATAATGACTACACCATTGCCTTTGTCAGGTTTAAGAACAATGATTTTGTCATTATTACGAATGTTCCTTAGAATTTTATGTTTCTTCAGGTCTTTAGGAGTTGGATGGTAGGAAGTTACGTACGTGTGTGCCAAGTGACCAAGTTCCGTTTTAGTATTGAATAGTCCTCCTGTTTGATAAGTTTATTTCTTAATGAATAGTGGATTCGTTCGAATGTTGCGAGAATGTCGGAGGAGTGGATTTTTGGAGGTTTGATGCTGAAGTTGAGACCGTTTTTTAAAGCGTTAAGTTCATCTTCACTTAGCTTTACAGATGATAGGTTGGTGACAGTGTCTTTATGAGTGAATGGTATAGCCTTGTTTTTGGTCAAATTATTTAGTTTCTTACGGTGTGTCGAAAATATTTTGTTTAGTTGTTTGTCGACATTCTTTTTGAGGGCTTTATTCAAGATATGCCAGTCAATTGGGTTAAGAAAGCTTTTGATTTCTTCTGTTTTGTTCGTCAGGTCCCTATCCAGTGTCCGTAGTTCTTTAGATCTCTTCGTTATCGCAGTTCGTAGTAAACGCTTTCAAATGTGGTATGCATCTCGATTGTCAACATTAGGCAGTGGAAAACACAGGAACTTTGGAAAAACTCCAAGTGAATTGCAATCTTTAAGGAAGGCGACATCAAGTTCAGCCTTGCGTTTCTTAGTTGTAAGCTTTTCATAATTTCGAAAATCCGACAAGGAAACCTTTCCATGATAATTTTGTGCTAAGTCGTAGATAATATTACCATAATTTCTAATTAGCAGCAATTTTAAAAAACACTTGAGAAAAACGACGATTTTTTTGAGAGCAAACATGTTTCGACATTATCAGAATGCCATCTTCAGTGCAGAATGATTAGTGTTAAGTAATATGATACATAATATGATATGAGTAAATTAATTACAATGAGTATTAAGTATTAATAACTATAACGTAAGTTCTAAAAATAAGTATTAAGAATTTATAACAAAAGTATTATTATAAAGTAAATATAGTGTTGTAGTGGTGAACTTGGATATTTAAATCGGGATTAGTTTTATTAATGTGTAGAGCTTCCTTGATTTTGAGTGAGAAAGTGGATTGATCAGTGTCGATGATTTTAAAACAGGAAGGTGAGAATTTGTTTTACATGAAGGAGAGGCTTGAAGATGTTTGTAGATAGTGGAGTTTTGTCTGTGTGAGTATGTTCCTTTATCCTGGTAGATAATTGGCGAGAAGTTTCACCAATATAACGGGAATTACATCCCGCACATGAAAATTGATAAACTACCATAGATTTGGAAAGTTCGGGAAGTGGGTCTTTAAACGAAAATAAAGATTTTATTTTGAAAGATGTGAAAATAAGTTTAACGTCAATGTCAGTGCAGTAGCGTTTAATGATTTGTGTGAGTTTGCGTTGTGTGTGTCGTGAGTAATCACCTATGTAAGGTAGTTTGAAATAACGTTTATTGTCAGGTTGTTGTATATCGTTAGTGTTAGTTGTGGAGTTAGATGAGTCAGTGCTTTTCTTGTTGTCCAAATAGTGTTGTATAGTGTTGTTGATGAAATGAAAAGGAAAAGAATTACGTTGGAGAGTGAATATTAGTTTCTTTAAATCACGTTGAAAGCCGATGTCTGTGTTGTTGAGTTTCCGTGCTCTGTCGGTCAGTGTTCGTATCAGTCCAATTTTGTAATTTAATGGTGTGAAACTAAAAAAGTTAGTCAGTAGTCCTGTATATGTTGGTTTGTGGTACGTAGAGGTCATACAGTTTTCATGTGATTTAGTTAGTAAGATGTCAAGAAAGGGTAACTGATTGTCTTGTTCGGTTTCGTATGTAAAGTTTATGCTTTGATGTTGTTTGTTGATGTATTCGTAAAAGAGTAATGCTTCGTCTTTGTTATGAAAAATACAAAAAATGTCGTCAACGTATCTGCGGTAAAATAAAGGTTTGTTGTTGCTGTAGTTATTTAACCAGTTTCGTTCGTGAAAACCCATGAAAATGTTGGCTAGAATGGGTGCCAAGGGTGAGCCCATACTTACCCCGTCAATTTGGTCGTAGTACTTACCGTTAAATAAAAATGAGTCTCGGCCGTAGTGATGTTAAACAATAGTTTTAGTTCTGTTCTGCTCATTTTGAATGTAGGGTTGTTGGTAAAATTAAATCAATAGCAATGTCTATGGTTTCGGTCAGTGGTATGTTGGTAAAAGGCTTTCAACGTCAAAAGAAATAAAGAATTTGTCATGTGGAGCGTTAGTGTTAAAAGATAAAAATCATCGATAAAACTAAAAGAATCTTTAGCAGAATGGTCATTAGGTATTAGGGTTGGAGTAAAGAGCTGAGGTATTTGGCTAATTTGTAGTTATACGAATTGATTGAAGAATTTATAGGTCTGATAGGAGGTATGTCATTGATATCGTTTAATTTATGAAGTTTAGGTAAACCATATAATCGAGCTGGCTGTGAACCTCTAGGGTACATTTCTTGAAATGATTTTTCGTCTATAGAGTTTTTTCTTTAAGTTACGTAGCAGTCGTTGTAACTTTGCTTCACGGGAAATTGTAGGATCATGATCGAGTGGTTTGAACTTAGATAAATTGTTAATTATAGTGAGGCAAGAGTTAATGTATACCTGACGATCCATAATGACTACACCATTGCCTTTGTCAGGTTTAAGAACAATGATTTTGTCATTATTACGAATGTTCCTTAGAATTTTATGTTTCTTCAGGTCTTTAGGAGTTGGATGGTAGGAAGTTACGTACGTGTGTGCCAAGTGACCAAGTTCCGTTTTTAGTATTGAATAGTCCTCCTGTTTGATAAGTTTATTTCTTAATGAATAGTGGATTCGTTCGAATGTTGCGAGAATGTCGGAGGAGTGGATTTTTGGAGGTTTGATGCTGAAGTTGAGACCTTACTAACTAAATCACATGAAAACTTTATGACCTCTACGTACCACAAACCAACATATACAGGACTACTGACTAACTTTTTTAGTTTCACACCATTAAATTACAAAATTGGGCTGATACGAACACTGACCGACAGAGCACAGAAACTCAACAACACAGACATCGGCTTTCAACGTGATTTAAAGAAACTAATATTCACTCTCCAACGTAATTCTTTTCCTTTTCATTTCATCAACAACACTATACAACACTATTTGGACAACAAGAAAAGCACTGACTCATCTAACTCCACAACTAACACTAACGATATACAACAACCTGACAATAAACGTTATTTCAAACTACCTTACATAGGTGATTACTCACGACACACACAACGCAAACTCACACAAATCATTAAACGCTACTGCACTGACATTGACGTTAAACTTATTTTCACATCTTTCAAAATAAAATCTTTATTTTCGTTTAAAGACCCACTTCCCGAACTTTCCAAATCTATGGTAGTTTATCAATTTTCATGTGCGGGATGTAATTCCCGTTATATTGGTGAAACTTCTCGCCAATTATCTACCAGGATAAAGGAACATACTCACACAGACAAAACTCCACTATCTACAAACATCTTCAAGCCTCTCCTTCATGTAAAACAAATTCTCACCTTCCTGTTTTAAAATCATCGACACTGATCAATCCACTTTCTCACTCAAAATCAAGGAAGCTCTACACATTAATAAAACTAATCCCGATTTAAATATCCAAGTTCACCACTACAACACTATATTTACTTTATAATAATACTTTTGTTATAAATTCTTAATACTTATTTTAGAACTTACGTTATAGTTATTAATACTTAATACTCATTGTAATTAATTTACTCATATCATATTATGTATCATATTACTTATCACTAATCATTCTGCACTGAAGATGGCATTCTGATAATGTCGAAACATGTTTGCTCTCAAACAAATTGTCGTTTTTCTCAAGTGTTTTTTAAAATTGCTGCTAATTAGAAATTATAATTAACTTTTAATGTTTTAAATTCAGTTGCACAAAATAATTTGCCACGTATCATCTCAACGGACGAAGCCATTTGACGCTTAACTTTTCAGAACGATAAGAAATCTGAAAGATCAATTGTTCAAAGCCTCAATCGTCGACCATTAAAAGGTTTGTAAGAGAAAAGACAAAGAATTATCGTATGTGTAAACGATGTATAAATGAGATCTTGAATAAAAGTTTTTCGTCAAATATAATTAATACACTTTTAATAAATATTAGTCTCAAACTAGTACTATAAAATATACATCATAGATACCCGTAGCAACTTGTGAAAAATTAGCTTACCGAAAAATCACTGTCATCTGAAGGAATGCGTGTTTATTGTGATGTGCTTGCTTGCTAAGGAATTCAAATTGCTTGCTAGCATGCAATTATATTTATCCTTGGGGCCGGACGGTATATTTATAAAATATATGTTATTTCATTATACTTGTGATAGTATGAAATGACATTTATGAATCAGGAAGAAAATTTAGCTTGAAATTGCAAATGGACTCATGCATGTAATCATTGAATAGTTTAGATGTATAAGTCGTTTTAGAAGTAGAAATATTGATCAGGAAGTGGGTTATATTTGTGATTAACTAGTTTGTAAGTCCACATTTTAAATGCGGCTAAAAAATTTGCTAATCTTTTTAACGTTACAATTGTCTTTCGTCAAGCTTTGGTTGCGAAGGTTCATGTATGCAAATTCATCGCATTATAGTTACAATAAATTTAAAAACAGATATGAGTATTTCAACTTATTAATTCTTTTTAACACTCCCACTTTATGGTCATACTTGCAAAATATCTCAAAAACGGTATATTTTAGTAAAATTTATACTTATTTCTATTGATCAATTTGATCCAAATTATATTCAAACTTATCAACAAAAACAATAAAAATCATATAACCATGTCTTTGCTTTACATAACAATCTATTCTTAAGATGTTTTAAATTTCGTGGCACAAAATAATTTTCCACTCATCGACTCGAAAGAAGAATATATGAATCTTAAGTTGTCATAATTTTAAATCTTTCTAAAAGTTCAACTGTTCAAGGCTACACGCCGTTAACCAGTAAAAGGTTTTTAAGACAAAAACAAAGAATTTTCATGCTTGACTGCGACGTATAAATGTGACCGATGGAAGCCTGTAAATTCTGTAATTATAGATAAATCAAACGAAGTTACAATTCCAAACAAGAACAATATGCTTACCAAAAACAAGTCACTGCCGTCTTAAACTAGGAAAGGCTTTTTTTAAAATATATTTAATTATTTATGACTCACCACGAAGTATATTTACTTTGAAATCGCAAATGGACTTTCTGCCTTTCATTAAATTAACCAACAGACTACTGCGATCAGATTAAACCGAGGAATGTATTAACAATGGACTACAAAGCTTAAACCATTCGCCGGAGCGAGACATAATTGATTTTTTATCACTTGCGAGCACGCATTTGAATAATATCTTGACTTTTTGTTACGATTCTTTCTATAGCTTTTTTTATGAAGTTTGTGAAGTGTAAGAGTTTTAATAATTCTTATTTCATGACTATGCTTTTAGATGATTCCTCGCCGATTGCAAATTACTTCTGCTTGATCTTCCGTTTTCCGGTGTACGATCGCACAAATGAGCAATGAAAACATCAAATTGACAAACAACTTAACATATAGCAAGCTTATACAAACTTGAATGTTAATAATCAATAAGCCCTTAGTAACCGAGCTCGAGGTTTTACGGAGAAAGATCGGAGAAAGATTTTTTTATACAGACCGGGCCCGTAGAGCAAGGTTTGTACAAAAAAACAGAGATTACAACAAAGCTATAGAGTTTCACGAGAAAACTCTGATATTCGAAAACAGTTGTTATATCCAAATCATGTTGATGTCGCTGTGTCTTTGAACAATCTTGGTAATGTGTATTTTAATACTGGAAACTATCCCCTTCCCCTCAATTAGCTTTCTATTTTTGCCGTGTTCATGTATGTTCATTGATTTGAAAAATCGGTATGCTTGTAAAAATCTAGCATTCATGTCATAAACGTTTAAAAAAGAAGCCAAATTTGTGGGTGTTCTTCTTCTGTCCACCTTCTTTAGTCACACAATTCCACTATCATTGTAAATACACAAAAATTACAAGACAGCGAAGGCCAAACCCTGGACAACGGCAGAGCCAAAGACGGCCGGCCGGCCCACCCCTCGCGCCCGCGCAGCCGGCAGTCGGGGTCTATTATTTAGAGAGAAATTCTCACATAGAATATATGTCTTGACACATTATCATGAGGCAGGGAAAGAACAAGTGTGCTGGTTATTACCCGGAAAGTTCACCACAATGTGGGCGAAGCTCTATAGGTGAATACTGCGGACTTCATATGAGGCGGTTAATGGAAGGCGGTAGACTTCCACAACCATGCCGTAAGTATGGGGTCGGAACACAGGCAGAAACTATCCTTTGTCAAGCCTGCGGTGCGCATAGGGTGCATCATAAGCTCATTTATGCGGAGAAACAAGCAAGAAAGAGATTTGCTAGAGTACTCCTCGAATTAATTTCGACATTTTGAATTAATTTCTATTTAGAGATTTATCTCACATAGGGTATACCACTAAAACAGTCGAGTTGGATGTTGTTGTTAAGGAAGTTATACAATTATATAAACAAGGTGTGATCAGCGGACATGCGCTGAACGCCTCTCTTAAGGGTCTTAAACCGCCCGCTGATCCGACACCCACGCCAAGAAATGTCACTCCGCCTATTCCCAAACCGCGAAAGCGCAGGCCTATCCAAAAACCACACAAGCGCAAGCCCGCCGAGCCTACCGATGATGAGATGGACGCATACAGCAATGAGCTTCTGGCTTAATTTAAGCCACGACGCCCCACAAGGGCTCCTTTCCCACCACCCACGGAACTTAAGTGGGATGAAACGAAGGCCTTCAGCTATCATCTGAGAGCCTGGAAAATGCAGGTGCCGAAGGGACACCCCTCCGAACGCGATTTGATGGATTTCCCTAAAAAACGCCCAGCCCTACATCAAACGCAAACTCGTCGAGGAGCTGTTAGCTCTACGAGGAGTTAAGTTCTAGTTGGCTGTTGAGGTTGAGCTTCGAAAGGATGAAGCAAATGGTACTGAAGTGCTCCAAGCACAAGTGTTCCGGACAAAGCAGATCACGCTGCTACAGGCTCATGAGATTTCGCAAGCCCTACATGAAGCCTTCCCAACAATCCTGGAGAGATTGGAAAAGTTCACTCGGGAAGGGTCTGGGTAGATAGTGGATCGTGTTAAAACACTCTGGCTTGACATCGCTCACTACCAGCCTTTACGAGGAGGCTCATACCTTCCTCTCCCCACCGCGGTCAAGAATAAGAAGGCAATCGTCAACGTGAAAAAAGTGACGACTGCCTCCGCTGGTCTCTAAGGGCTGCCTTGTTTCCTGCAGCTAAAGACCCTCAACGGCCGAGCAAATATCCCACTGAGGACGGCCTTGATTTTGCGGGAGTGAGCATACCCACATCGCTCTCCCAGCTCGAACGAGTAGAGCGTCAGAGCGACCTTGCTATCAACGTGTATGGTTGGGAAGGCGGCGTCGTTCCTTGCCGTCTGAGAAAAGTAGAGAGAGCTCACAAGACTGTGAATCTCTTCCTCGTCTCGGATTCAAAAAATCCTGAGAAACACCACTACACTTGGATCAAGTACTTCGACTGCCTTCTCAACCAGAGTGTCAGCTGCACTTCTGTGAGCGTTGCCTTCACGGCTTCACCAGACAGGATTTGCTGGAAGAGCATAAACCTGAATGTCGAGGCATCAACCAGGCCACGGTTGCCATCAGAATGCCAACCCCAGGAAAAAACGACAAAATCCGCTTTGAGAACTACCAGAAGCAGCTCAAAGCGCCCTTCATAATCTACGCCGACTTCGAGAGTCTGGTCTGCAAAGTCGAGGGCCCCGCGCTTCAACCTGAAAAGAGCGGCACCCAGCAAACCTCCAGGCACGAGGCATACGGCTACTCGTACATAGTCGTCCGTTACGACGGGGAAACGCAGCCCCCGCTGTTCTACTGAGTACCTGACGCGGCCAAGAATTTCCTCCAAGAAGAAGAGCGTAAGATCAAGACGGTGTTGGCCAACCCCGAGCCTATGCACATGACAGGAAAGGACTGAGGGAGCCAAAAGAAAGCCACAAATTGCCACGTCTGCAAACCGGTTGTCTTTCACAACCTACGGGGCTACGACAGCCATCTCATCATGCAGACTATCGCAGAGACTGAAGGGAAGGCTACCTGCATCCCCAACAACGCCGAGAAGTACACCTCATTCAGCATCAGCCAGCTCCGATTCATCGACAGCGCCCAGTTCATGCTCTCAAGCCTGAATGGCCTGGTGAATGCCAGCGACCCGCAAGACATGCTCATCAAAGTAGACTTCGAGCCGAGCCCCAAGAGGCGTATTCTCCTGCTCAGCAAGGGGATCTACCCCTACGAGTATATGGAGGGCTGGTCCAGATTTGATGAGGAACTCCTCCAGCTAAAGAAGGCTTTCTACAGCAAACTCTCCGATGAAGGCATTACCGATGACGACTATGCCCACGGAAAAAAGGTCTTGGACACCTTCGGTTGTACAAGCCTCGGTGACTACCATGACCTCTACCTTCGAACTGATGTCCTCCTCCTCGCTGAAGTCTTCGAGAACTTCCGAAAGCTGTGCCTCGAGCGATACCAACTAGACCCGGCTCACTATTACACGAGCCCGGGCCTAAGCTGGGACGCTCTCCTCAAGCACACAGGGGTTGAGCTCGAGCTGCTCACTGACATTGACATGCATCTCTTCATCGAGAAGAGCCTGCGCGGCGGCATCAGCACGGCCAGAAGGCGCTTCGACGAGGCCAACAACCCCAAGGTGCCTGACTATGATCCGGGGAAGCCCCAAAATTGGATCCAGTACTACGACGCCAACAACCTGTTTGGCTGGGCAATGTCGCAGCCGCTGCCGACAGGCGCGTTCGAGTGGGTCGCCCAAGAGGAAGTGAAGGCGGCCCTGAACCAGCCTTTAGATGCAGAAGGGCTACATTCTCGAAGTCGATCTGGAGTACCCAGAAGAGCTGCACGACAAGCACCATGCATATCCGTTAGCGCCAGAACGCCTGAAGGTCGACAACGCGTGGATGTCGGATTACCAGCAAAATCTCCTCAAATAGATGTATGGGGGTGCGTCTCACGAGGTCGAAAAGCTGGTCCGTAATCTGCGCGACAAGACCCAATACTTCCTGCACTATCGGAATCTACAGCTCTATCTGCAGCTTGGCATGCGCAGGGCGCTCCGCTTCGACCAGAGCCCAAGGATGGAGCCCTACATCCGGAAAAACACCGAACTCCGGAAGAAGGCAAAGAGTGACTTTGAAGTCAACCTCTACAAGCGGCTGATTAACAGCGTCTTCGGCAAGACGATGGAGAACATCCGAAAGCGTGTTGATGTGATGCTGCTCGGGCCGCGCGAGACCGAGAGACTCCGCAAACTTGTTGTCAAGCCGACAATCAATCAGCATCTCATCTTTGGCGATGCGGGAGACCTCGCAGCCGTTCACATGAATAAAAGCAGTCTGCTGCTCAACTGGCCGGTCTTCGTGGGCATGAGCGTTCTCGACCTCTCGAAGCATCTGATGTACGACTGGAACTACAACCATCTCAAGGCGCAGTAAGGGTGGTCAGCAGAGCTCCTCTACACCGATACCGACAGTCTTGTGCTGGAGATCCAGACTTAGGAAAAACCCTCGGGGCAAATACCCCGCTATCCCTGGGCTTGAATTTCTTAAAAAAGATTGTTATGGCGAGCTTCTGCCTTCACTTAAAAAAATGGGGGCAGAATGTTTTGCTCTTGGGTCAGAGCAATATGGCAAGAGCTTCTTCATGAAACGGCTCCTTGCTCACGTTCGTCCGAAAGGCTGTACGTCATTTCGAACACCTCCGCTGATTAATATATCCAACCTAACACGGTCTTGAAGTATTTTTTCTGTCATGCCTGAATCAATCGAGGATACGAGTATAGAACCAGAGTCCTACGTCATCATCGACGACATCCGCGTCATGAATCTCAAATGCGGAACGCAGAGGGAATGCCTCTATAAGTTCTTTACGATGTATAGCCATTATCTGAAATTGAACGTCTTCTTCCTCTCCCAGAGCTTCGACAACATAAAGGACATGAAGTATAAAACAAACTTTATCTATCTCTTCTGATTCACGGACAAGTCGAATGTGAAGCGGTTTCTTAATACGCTCTTCGGCGGCACGGGCCATAAACCGGTTTGTAGCGGATTTGTTTCGTTTATTTTGCGTGTTGCTGTTTGCATTACGAAGTTTTTTTACATTTGACTGTAAAATTACGCCTTTTGAAACGTGGTCGATTACAGAAAATAACGGACCTGGAAAAATTTTTTCTGTGCCAATCAAATCACGCTATTTATCCGGAAGTCACTATGGTACACAAGTTTTTGCTTTGCATTCTGAAAGTTTCGCTTGGAATTAATCGAGCGATTGAAACGAGTAATTGCTGGCAAAACAACCCTTCGATATTTTCTAAGAAAGCGACGGGTGCAATGAACGGTATTATTCATTATGTCCGACTATCGCTGAGGATTACGACTGACACGCCGATTGACGGACAGAAAAGTAATTTAGCACGTCAGTATTTTTGAGTTAACAGACCTTTTAGGACTTCGTCGAAGGATTGTATGAAAAAGGTTTTATCTATTTCCGTATTTTCCTCCTGGATCGTTTTTTTCTATTATTTTAAATTAATTTTTTGATACTAAAAATATACTGCAATGTATTTATTTCAATAAAAATATAAATAAAAAAAAAATATCCGTGGCGTTGTGACTAAAATTTTTTAGACTGCTAGGAAACCCCCAAATTAAAGTCGACCCCGCGTTGTTTGTTTTTTGCTTGTTTTTTTCACGCTTTATACGACAAAACATTGGCAGTTTTTACTTAAGTAAATGTATTTAGGCCTATATAAAGGTTTAACTTGCAAATGTTAAGGATAATTACCTTATTTTTGTTCAGTAGTTGAGTTTGTTTCATCTGTCATCGATAAGACATTAAATTGTGTGTTTTCACATCAAAATCGTCAACACAACTGCTATGTTAGGGTGATATCCGGACAGAAAAATATTTTGCCAAGGTCTAAAAAAGAGTACGAGGCCGCATGCCGTGGTAAGTTTTGAGACCAAGAAGAATATTTTTCCATCCTGACCCACCTAAACAGTAAATAACATATTAATTTTTTTGCTAAAGGGAACAATCTTATTCGATTGTTTAGACAGATTGAACGATGGTCGTCATGCAATTAAACAGTTAAAATTTTGCTGTTCGTTTTGCTTCTGAAAACTCTAAACATAGTTTGGTCATTACAAAATACGTTTTCACTTAGAATTTAGTTATAGGATTTCGGACTGCGGTCATGCACCGTAAAATTGGAATTTAACTGCAGGAGGATTCCCAAGTGCCGCCAAATATTGTTAAATTCTGCCAGCTGCTGCAGCCAATCAGATTGCAATAAAAAGAAATTTTGCGTAGCTTATAATTTCACGTGCTTGTCAATTTTTTGTACAGATGGAATCAAGAGAAGGAAGAAATGTGTCTTACATTCGTTCAATATTTATTGTGGTTCAAAAGAAACTTGCTCAGTTTTTCATCGAACAATGGAACTCTCATTACAAATCAACTGATGGAGAATGGGATGACACAAACATCAGTGGAAACAAATTTTACAAACATGAAATACGTCAAATGCTTCCTCGAAGAGTAGCAATGAGTTTTCGCGATGGAGATACCAGTAAATGGGACTGTACAACATTATTTTATGCAATACATTTTTCAAATTCAATTGGAAAGTATCTTGATGAAAAAACAAAGAATGCTTTAGATGAACTTCGTCGTGAAAGAAACGAATACGTACATTGGAGGGAAAGCGAATGCTCAGATGATTATTTTGATAAAATAGTCTGTAACATTGAAAATTCATTTAAGCAATTGCGATTTTCTCTCGATGAAATCATTGAAATAAAGGCTCATCGAAGCAGTTTTAAAGATGTCGGAAATTCTTCTGGCGTTGAAAATAAAAAACAAGGTATGCCTTTCAATTCTATTTTATTTCATATATATTGCATAACCTGAGCATATTTGTCTTGTATTGTATCACAATTCAAGTCATTTGATTGGTATTTATGTGTTTTTATGAAGATTTACATTATTTGATAATATGCATGATGTACGTATACAGTGTTGCACTTTCGGACTCCAAACGTTCATTTATTACGTATGTTCAATACTGTATTAATGACTTAAATTTTCCTTTTGCGAACTACAAATGATTTAAATGTACTGTGTACCCGACGGCAGTGATCAGCACAACTTGACAAGTCTTTGTTTATCTCAATAAATACTGCGTAGCAGCAAAGTGGCGCAACTCTTTTTATAAAGTGCTTAAATTGACTACATTTCATAAGTTTCATTCAAGAAAAAGGATTATAATAGACTAAAACCTTTTAAAATAAATCTTGACATAATGTACACCATACAGATCAGACCCTGCATTTTAGAAGTGTTCAGGTTAGACCATCTGTTTTAAAAGTACTCGTGTTTGATTAAATTAATTCCTACTTTCTTTGATAGAGTACCGGAGATTAGTGGGAGTATATGTTTTTATCCAGATAGAAATTATGTTTTTTGCTCCTGGCTTACAACATGTTAAAACAATTAAAAAAACATCACCAAGTCCAAGTTCTAACAAAAGTTTTCTTCAAATACAGTCTTCAATCAACCTTTTACTTTAACAAATGCTATGAGATATATGAATTTTTTTATCACATGACTAAGCAACACTAAATGGTAACATTAGTGGGTGGTTTAATCTATTTTAACCTTGGCAGTAAAATCGTGTCACTTCACAATTTGTACTTGAAGCTCATTATCAGTCAGGTAAAATTAAGATGAGACATGAGGTGATAATGACATCTATCTTTTTAAAAGAACGTTTATTGTATTCTTCTTGTTTAATCATAAAAACTTCTCAACAAACTATCCTTCGGATATACTGTCATACTTCACTTTTGCACCACCATGCATACATTACCTAGCTAATGACATTGAAAATTATACAAAGAACGACCACCATCAAATCGACTTGCTCAATAAACTTCAATAAATAAGAATTCCTGTTCATTGTAAGTAAAATACCTCAAAATCATATGGAAAATGGGCCAATTTGATGATGTGAATTCTGAAGTTCTACAATAAAAAGAAACCTATTTACAATTTTCATTATGACAAATGTAGCATTAAATTGCACATTTATTAAACGATCTTCTAAATTCTAAATTTACAGAAAATTACAAGTTTTTTGAGTTCTTTCCTTGCTAAGTATACCAGAGTATACATCTTCAGTGTGAACATCATTCTAAAGTCTACAAATATCATTTTGTACCTTAGAATTAAATTTTGAATACTTTTTACTTAGAAGTGCATTTTGAAAATTGCATAGAGCATAAAAGTTGCTGCGTCAGTTTTTTCTACTAGAAAATTTTCCAAAATAGATAAGGAAATAACGTTACTAATCGCAAAACATAAAAACAACGACTTTATTCATTGATTTCAGTAAATTACTCCCACTGATCTCAAAATAAATAAGTATAGCTATTTGGACTATGTTAGAAGCGCAAGTGACTCAAAAAATCTCCTTTATGATTCAAACTGATTGTCAACTGGCTTGATGACCTCCATTAAAAAGTGCACGTGAATCAGACCAAGCCACTTACGACTTATGCTACCCGAATGAGCAAGAATAACTTTGCTGCTAAAATATCGCTTACAGAACTCAATGGCTGTATCATGTTTTCTCAGATATCGTAGCACTGACCACTGTATAGAGGATCGAAACTATAACTTATAGTGGGGTGGGGGAGGGGTGTTTAATAACGCTGCTGCTGAAATATCGCTTATAGAACTCAATGGCTATATCATGTTTTCTCAGATATTGTAGCACGGACCTTTATATATAGGGCCGAAACTATATCTTTTAGTGGTTGGGAGAGGAGTGGTTTAATAGCACTACTGCTAAAATATTGCTTACAGAACTCAATGGCTGTATTATATTTTCTCAGATATTGTAGCACGGACCACTGTATAGAGGGCCGAAATTATAACTTATAGTTGGGTAGGAGAGGGGGGGTATTCATATCTTCAATTGTGGTCCACTGTTTTCTTGTGAAAGCTAACGTAGTTTACATTTAACATAATACAAATATAGCTAAACAAATAGACCAATAAATAGAAAGGTAGATGGAAAAATATAAAATTGATCTGAAAATTTGTTGTGAAAGCTTAGAAATATTTTTCTCAATTGCTCTTTTCAACTTTATTTATAAGAGATCTCCAAAGGAGAGTTCTGTTATACAAGAAAATTTTTCAAGTTAGTAAAACGTGATTGTGGTAAGCGAAGTCAATTGAAATGTTCTGAATCACACATACAATACAAAAAAGATTTTACAATATTTGAAGCCGGAAGTTCAATGATTTGCTTGCATCGTTCGTGTTGCTTATTTTGTCTATTATATTATACTTTAGCACTACAACCTTATGATTTCTTTGACATTTTTCTAAAAGAGACAAAAATTTTATCAAAAGACTGAAAGATATGACACGAATTTAAATCGCTTACTCTTTTTGTGGTGTTAAATATATATTGAATTGCATGATTCTTTTTCCACCTGAGTAAAAAAAATTTCATCAAAAAGAAATTTTCTCTCCATAACGAAAACCCTGACACAATAGACACATGACAGACAAATTTTTCTTTCAAATAAATCATCATATGCTTAGTATAAAATAATTGAAAACTGGAAAAACCATGTCAAATTTGGCAAAGGTAAAACAATACCAGCAATGTTGCACGAGAATAAGAAAAACAGGAGGTAGGACTTGAGTTTGCAGAAATAAGATAACGAGGTTCACTTTACCAAGGTGAATAAGAGAAACAGTACGTGTCAGATAATTTAGAGTTAAGCCCGAGACACACTGTCGCTGTCGCTTGGTCGTTACGGTGAAACGACAGAGCGACGAAGCGACACGAAAAATGTTAACAGACACACTGTCGCTAGCGCAACAGGCAAAGCGACCTGATTTTAAGCACGTACCAGTCCCCCTAGAGAGAATATTAGCGGGAAATACGAATTTGGTGACTTTGGAAACTTGGTTCAAGAATTGAGGAATGACGAAGAACAATTCTTTATTTACTTCAGAATGAATCAAATGACCTTTGATTTCCTTTTGAGCTTAGTTGGTCCTTCATTAAGAAGGCAAAATACTCATTTGCGGCAGTCAGTTTCACCAGGAGAAAGGCTAGCCATCACTTTGCGTAGACTGGCAACAGGAGATTCGCCTCAGTCAGTGGCCTTTGCATATCGTCGTGGTTTAAGTACAGTTCGCAGCATAGTATACGATACATGTGAGTTTTGTGGTCTGTACTTATGCCAATGTATTTAAAAGCACCATCGAGTGTATTAGAATGGCAGGGTATTGAGCAAGGGTGAGTTTCTATCTCATTATCATGTTGATTTATTGCACGGAGTGAGTTCCTGAGCTTGAAACAAAGTTTCTTTACTGTTTGTGACCTAGTTTTCAATTGAAATAGGTTCTCTACTGTCTGGAATTTTCCAAATTGTATTGGTGCTTTGGATGGGAAACATATTGCAATTCAGGCTCCTAGAAACTCTGGCTCAGCCTTCTTCAATTACAAAAAGTTTCATTCCATTGTGCTGATGGCAATGTGTGATGCCCATTATCAGTTTGTGTATGTTGATGTTGGAGAATCTGGCCGGTGGAGTGACTCTGGAGTCTTCGAAAATACAACATTTGGATCAGCATTCCTAAATGGTATGCACATGTAATTGATCTTAAAATGCAAAACATACATATTTTGTATATATACATAAAGTGCAATTTTTTAAAGGAAAAGTCCAGTTACCAGACCCCAGACCTCTGATAAATGATGGCAAGAAGATGCCATATTGCATTGTTGGGGATGAGGCTTTTCCATTGAAGACATGGATTATGCGACCATATCCTGGTAAATCTTTGGACTGTGTAGCAAAAAAAGTATTCAATTACAGATTATCAAGAGCTAGAAGGACAATTGAAAATACATTTGGTAAACTCAAATAAAAACATTGTTGTATATATCAATACTTCATAATTTGATTATGTCAATATTTGTAGGCATCATGGTTTCCAAGTGGAGAATCTTGAAAACTGCTATTGTTGCTGAGCCAAACAACGTTGTCAAATTGGTTAAAGCTATATGTGTTCTTCACAACTTTCTGCGAAAGCAATCTGCAGCAAGTTACACCTCCTGGCTCGACAGATATAGTGGATGAAAATGGCCAAATAAATGAAGGAGTTGGAGAGCTGAGATGGAAAAAGCTACTCTTCAACCCATTGCTCAGAGCTCTAGAAACCAAACAAAAGCAGCTCTTAGAGTAAGAGAAGATTTTGCATGTTATTTTATGTCATCTGAAGGAGAGTTATCTTGGCAAGTGGATTATGTCCTTCGTACATCATAATCATAAATAGAATATTTGGAAAAGAGTCGTTTTATTTTGTTAGTTTTTTTTTATTTGAAAATAATGATTGTAACAGAAACACTTAAAAAACATAAAACTAATTTTCTGGAAACTCCAGCTTAAAAAGAACATCCTGAATCTCCTTCTTGGCTTTAGCCCTAGCATATGGAGTAGGTAGCTTCCTAATTTGCTCAGCAACACTCTTTCCGAAAAAGTCATATTCATCTTGACTCTCTGGCTCTTTAACTTGTTTTTTGTGAAGAGTTTCTAGATACCCAATCAACTTTGTTTGATATGGTGACATGTCTTCAGCCTTCCTCTTGCATCGTACAATTTCAGATGTGCAGGACAAATTTGTTGATTGGCTTGATGGACTGTCAGCAAGCACACTCTCAGCTATCTCCTCAGAGTCTTCCTGGATTTGAGAAGACGTAAGTTGGTCTTCCACAGGGATAACAACATTCGAGATTGTCCTATGAATAAAATGAACAATTACTCATAGAAATAGCTTATTTTTTCCTACATTGTTATTAGAAAGTCATAGTGTAATTTCAAAAATTACATACTGGCGTCGTTTTGCGTAATCATCCAGCCAGGTCATAATAGACCAAAACTCCCAGTTTGGTGTTGAGGAACCAGGAGCACCAGATTTGATAGCTGCATCATGCTTCTTTGCATCGCCTATAAGTGTCTCGCAAATTCTTCATTTTACCTTTTAGTTCGTTTGCTTAATAAAGAAAATAAATATTTATTTGACTGGGTCAGACGATACTGACAAAAATATTGTGAGATAAGAAAACATGTTTTGCGAAATGAGTATTTACCTGAAATCAAAACCGATTGCACGCATTTCTTCGGCTATCTTTTGCCAGATATTTCCTTCAATTTTCATCTTTATAGTCTTTTAAAGACATGTCGTAAAGAGCAGGATACGCGCGAAAAGAATTTATAAGTGCTTCTTCTAGTGACGCCATTTTGAAAATTTTGTCCTAGCGACACAGCGATTTCATGTGCTCCAGCGAATTCGCTGGCTGTGTTGAAACGACACAGCGACACGGCTTTGTAACCGCGCAATCCCGTCGCTGCGCGGTAACGACATAGCGACAGCGACAGTGTGTCTCAGCCTTTAAAGCTTAAAATGCGTATAAAACCAAAATTTTGCAGCCTGTTTTATACTTTTATTGAACAGAAATTTTAATATGACAACGGAGTTTCTC